ATGGCAAGTATGTATGATACAATGTATGAACATATGGTATGGCTCTCATAGGGATAATCTCTCATAGTCGCTGTAGTGGTTCAGGAAAGATTGATGGGAAGAAGTGGTCAGTAAATTCCCGTTTGAAGCTTGGGCCAAGTGAGTCGACAATGGAAGATATGTGCTGAGTCAATTCGGGCCGGTGTTGACAAAACACTGTTACTATCGAATGTTCCATATATTCGCTTGCTGACCTACTAAGTAGAGTACCCACCTCTGTGGTACGGATCGGGTCTGCGCCGTGTAGTGCCTATCGCCTTTATTAGACCGAATCTTACAGTTCCACATTGACGCATTTTCATAAATTCTACTTTGCGTGTATTCAAATTCACCAATCTGAGTTTCAAAAGATACCGTCGATTGCAGAGTCATACACGCAAACACCTGTCTGTAGGGATAATATTATTTATTTCAAAAATGGCAAGTATGTATGATACAATGTATGAACATATGGTATGGCTCTCATAGTCGCTGTAGTGGTTCAGGAAAGATTGATGGGAAGAAGTGGTCGTGTGTGTTCGAGCGTATATGATTAAGAAATGTAGTGTTATGCCAGGTTTCAACCACACACATAACATCAACCTGACTTAAAATCGATATAACGTTCAAACACTTATCTAGAAGAGCGTCATCCTCATTGGGCCTAACATTGTTCATCATCGGTCAATACTACTGGGCTCTCCTCTTAGGGTTTAGGTTTGTCAACCGTCACTGAGCACATATTTAGTCTCATTAGATGCACGTATTAAACCCTGTAGCACAAGTGCATCTTCTATGCGTCGCTCTGCTTCTGCGTGCATCATTTGTTGAGTCAGTTGAAAAACTTAAAACTTCATCTCTGCTGCCGTAGATGTAGTGATGCTAGGCTCTGTAAGTTCTGATAGCTTACATTGTTTCATCGCCTGTGGGTCTTCTAAGTAGCAATCGTGATGAAAGTGTATCAATAGGTACATTTGTCTTATTCTGGTGATTCCCCTTCATCTCTTCTGGTAAGTTCTTCTGGTAAGTTCTTCTGGTAAGCGCGGACATCGGTGACGTTGCAGCTAGTCACAAAATAAATTTGCTGCTAGCCTTGATTGAGTTGTTGCTGTGGAGACTTCTCCACTCTGCGAAACGCATCAAGGGGACGTTTTGCCAACGACGATAGATTCTGGGGGTAGTGTCCATCGCTTAAAGTGCAAATCCGCGATAATAATTATACCAGGAGATTTCACCACAGTTTTCTAGTCCCGAGTATGACTCAAATCGTCAAAGTCGGTCGGTATCTCCGCAGTTATTGAAATTTTTGGTGCTCAATTTTGAGCATATTCCAACATCCGTTCTCTACGAGTAATTTGCACATTATCGTAGGGTGCAACTTAAAGTATCGGTTTCGTGCGGCCAATTTTTTTTTAACGTTTCACTGGACGATTCGCGTTGTCTCGTCTATCCCGCTATTAGGTAACTGGCCAGTTGCTGTCGTTCATTACTGCATTGGGCATTGGCGAGCTCTTTGAAATCGCGATATCGTCGCCACCTGTTGCTCAAGATAATCAACTCAAACAGTGGACACATCAATATTCGCCATTGAGGAAAGTTTACGAAGTTGACGGAGTTGCGTTCAACAAATGTCCGTGGACTTCTGCATATGCGTCAGCGTCCTCAAGTGTCAATCGCAATCAGAAGTTCATTCCGGATGCTGTACGACCTCATCCAACGTAGAAAGCGAGTTGGTTGGGCTTCCAAAGCCAAACGTTCTACCTTTTCTTCATCCTCAGATGTCAGATCGAGAGAAAATACTGTCTTCACCTTAGCAAAATCAAAGGTAATTGACGATGAACTGCGAGTAGCCGTTTTGATAGCCAAATCATAAACTTGTTTGACTACCTAGGTACCAGTGTAATACTAGGTCCCTTCATTGCTGTAAACAATTTACTATTCTTTACTAGATTGATTCTTAATTAGATTAGTCTGTAATGTAATAAATACAGTAGTTCGGTCACTTATAAATGTGGTCAAAACTGAACAACGCCTAGTAAAGTGTGTTAAATTTGAAGTAAAAGAACTCAGTCAGAAGTGCTTAATCACGTTCCTGTCTGAAACAATTTTCTCTACCAACCAGGGTAATTGTGAAAATACCCGCATAACTATGGTTCTCGTCTCCTAGTTACTAAATTATGATGACAGACATTCAATGAGTCATCATTCTCTTACTAAATCCTCTGTATTCCACTATCTGGTTTGAAGCCTTAATTCGGTCCTGAAATAATCTCTTTTAAGTCCGGTCCTCTTGGTCCGGCCATAAAATCCCACTTGTAGGTCGGACCCTCTGGTCCAGTCCAAATTGTCCATCCAAGGTGCTTTGTCCATAGCTTGTTTTGCCACATCCGGAGGATGGTAGTTTCATATTCCATCTGTTGTCTGGATACCAGTAAGTACAGACACGCTCTTTCAGTATACACAACCCATGGAACCTGAAAACATTATATGCGCGGAGGGTATTAAGGGATGGTCCCATAAGTAACATTTGCGCACCCTGTCGTATATGTCGCTGCTTCTTTTCCATCTGTGCTTTCAAAACGTCTCGCTTAATTTTAAGGTATTGTTGCAGTGAATATCCGGGTGAATTTTAGGTTGTGTATCTGCATTATGTGCGCATACGTTGAGTTATCCAAGCAGCAACTTGCTGAAGGTCTTGTGATATGGAAATAGTATTGTCATGGGTAGTTGTGGTGTATGCTACATTAATGATTCCGCTGGTTGTGATGCGCTTGAATCGACGGTTCAGATATGAATGCTTGCTTATTGTCGCTTGTTACAAAGGTACTCAATATGGATGCAGAGGTCGTGCTGTTCGCCGCGGTTGTGTAACTCTTCCGTAATTAATTGCTGCTATTTGTTTTTGGTACGAATCTCGTAGCAACTTTTGAAGTTATAGAGTCTGCTTTCAAAACTGATACACGAGTACCAAACATACGTGCCGCGCGCAGCTGTGATTCATCTTTGAGTTCATTCCGAGATTTGATAGTTTTACTAGAGGCCTTCCTTCCACTGTTATGACATGATACGTCGTGAGCAGTCATGATGATATTAATTGTGATATTCCGAGATGAACCCTGAATAAAGGTATATATCTGTTACATATATGTTATTTCCTACACTATTTATCTGATAATGTGTGTGGTACAATATACCGGGGATTGAGCGCCGATGAAGGGTCCTTTGGGTTTTCCAAGTTTGGCTCGGCACACTTACCCTCCTCCGCCAACGCTGTGACGACATCAGGAAGAACTCAACAAAACGTTGGTCCAACAAGGAGATCGCGGCAATGGCCCGGCGCCAATACTACTACCAACTGGTTATGGGTAAACCGCCAACCTCAAACCGAGACGCAGCCAGACACGACAGCTTCAATCGCTGCTTCGAGTCTACACCAATCCGGCTCTGTGTTATGATTGTAACGAATACGTACATGTTCACATTGCTCGACTACCGCACCGACTGCTGTCTCTGCCCTGTCTGCCCCGGTAGCCACAAGTTCACTACCAGCCACTTTACCTGCATCCAACAACTGATTCGACGCATCCTGGTAGACCTGAAACTGCCACCCATTGGCCCAGACCTCCTTCAGCAATTACAGGAGTGCCACGACTTCCACGGTATCTGAACCCTCCACGAACACCTTGGATCTTTTCTCCAGCATGTTGAAGAACCACCGTACCCTCACCCGTCTTTGACACATCAACAGATGTTTTCCATACCCCGGCTAATCACGCTGTTGAAGTACTGCTTCCAAATATCGATTCAAACTAAATAATCGCGCTTGTTGGTTCCGACTATGATACTTCCAAACCAGGCCAGCCGACACATACATAATTCATCCGTGGTCTGGTGCGGCATTGGCTTACCACCATCATCGCTTCTCGACCGGATTATGACGGATAACCTGGTCCTTTCGTACTCTGCACTAACCCATTCCGCGGCACTACACGGCGCAGACCCGATCCGTACCACAGAGGGGGGTACTCTATTTAGTAGGTCAGCAAGCGAATATATGGAACATTCGATAGTAACAGTGTTTTGTCAACACCGGCCCGAATTGACTCAGCACATATCTTCTATTGTCGACTCACTTGGCCCAAGCTTCAAACGGGAATTTACTGACCACTTATTCCCATCAATCTTTCCTGAACCATTACAGCGACTATGAGAGCCATACCATATGTTCATACATTGTATCATACATACTTGCCATTTTTGAAGTAAATAGTATTATCCCTATGCGAGCCAAATAGAATTAGGGTTTATAGGGTTTAGGGTTCCTAGAGTTGTTCTTTTTGCATGTTCTTTAGCCTCCAAAATAATGACTGCTGTATATGTTCTTTTTTCAACAGGCTATGACGCTATGTATAGGGATAATAATATTTATTTCAAAAATGGCAAGTATGTATGATACAATGTATGAACTTATGGTATGGCTCTCATAGTCGCTGTAGTGGTTCAGGAAAGTCGCTGTAGTGGTTCAGGAAAGTCGCTGTAGTGGTTCAGGAAAGTCGCTGTAGTGGTTCAGGAAAGTCGCTGTAGTGGTTCAGGAAAGTCGCTGTAGTGGTACAGGAAAGTCGCTGTAGTGGTTCAGGAAGTCGCTGTAGTGGTTCAGGAAAGTCGCTGTAGTGGTTCAGGAAAGTCGCTGTAGTGGTTCAGGAAAGTCGCTGTAGTGGTTCAGGAAGAGGATATGCCGCTATGGGTTATGAATATTAGGTCCAAACCGTGTGACGAAAAAAAGTGGTCCCAACAGTCCCAGGCCCCAGGGCCTCAGGCGCCCAGGCCAGGCCAGCGGCCCTTTGTGAAAATTGTAAAGTGCTTTCGCTTCGAACGATCTGGTTGGTTAACAAGATGGTACTTTCTACATACCAACAAAAATGGAAACCATATAAAAAATTGAGAAATATTAAAAACATATGATAATCAGATAATGTATACAAATGAAAACCATATGTATTAGTGATTGAATGTATCTTGACAATTGTTCGCTATATAGGTTCTTTGTTCTGAGTCATAGTTACCATTATTACAGTAGTCCAACTCACATAAATAAGTAATTGCAACATAATATCTCCAATAAAGGATTAAAATGGCGTTTAAGAAAGCAGCTAAAGGGTTTGGAGTGGGACTTGTCGTTGCCGCAGCGTCTTTGGCAGTATACTACAATATGGATCAGGAGGACAGGGCTAGAGGTATATGTCGATACACTGTCATCTATTTAACGCTCTTTATAGTATTCTTCACTGCTACTACTTCTGTCTAATTCTGGCCAATTCGCGTATCTTCCCTATCGCGTGCGAGCTTTCTGATGTACATGTAATCTGAATATTGTTTGTAAGTGTGCTTGCTTTCTTGGAGGTAGCGGCAATAGCAAACAATGCATGTATTATCCTGGTACGTGTGTATGCTTCTGGACTTCCAATCTAATATGAGTTATAATATAATATATTGTTTTAGTACAATTGTGGCGCTTTATATGATAAATTGTACCTTTATCGAGAAGAATATTTACCTGGCACAATCGAATCCAACAAGGCACACACTCTAGAACACTTGCAATTTTCTCTCTTCCTGCTTCACAAGCCTTCTTGTTACGCATAGCTTCTTATTCTTGTCAGTACATTGAATAATTTGAATTGAACAGTGTCTCTGTGACATTCTGCTATATTGTGAGCGAGAATCGGACAGGGCACTCAATATTGCTGTAAAGTATCACGTGCCTAGCGGTCTCTAGTGGTATTGTTTGTCGTGATATAGTTCACAGGGTAGATAAAGTGAATGGGTACTACCTTTTGAAAAGATATTGTTCTGTTTTTTATACGGTGAAGTTTGCGATTAAATGCGCGGTTTGAGCATCCGTTTTACTCTGGAAAGGTCAGGATCCATCCGACGGTACCACTGATACATTGTCTTGTAACTGATAACTAATATATCATGTGGCTTTTCTCAACATAGTGATTCTTACTGCTATGTTCGTTGAACCGCTGTATAGTCAATATAGGTGTATAAAGCTAACCGTTTCATATTCCTTCCGAATTCTGTCAGTGATCAATAAGCTCGATAACTTGCAAAATACCGCTGAAGACAAAGCGGAGAGCGCCGAAGACAAATTGAAAGCGGCCGGTCACGAGGCGAAGCTAGAGGCCCAGAATGCATGGAGCAAAACAAAGCAAGAAACCGGGGAAATCAAGCATGGAGTCGAGGATAAGGTACTTTTTTTTGGAACGTTCTTCTCTCATATCCAGTTTATTTCCGAAGGCTTGCTGTTCGCACCTCGTATCGGATGGTTCCTGCGCAATCGGTAAACAGCTGCTTCTTTAGTTCAGATGACTCTAGGGTGGGAGATTTGCTCAAGCTCCAACTCGCGCATTATTGTGCACATCGATAATTTTATTATTATCCCCACAGGCCCAGGAAGCTATACAGAAGGGAAAGGAAGCACTGCATCAAGTGGATGGTATCGCACATGACCTCGCCGAGGTGGCGAAGGAGACGATTCCCAAGATTGTCCATGATGTGGATGAGAAGCTACACGAGCTGAAAGAGGACACAAAGAACCTTATCCACGACTATGCAACATCGAATATCAAGCCCCCGCCCTCAGTCACCGGGCCCGTCGATAAGGCGCCTGTGCGTGACGACATAACTGTTACTAAAAAGAATTCTACCCCCATGCCACCCCCTTCGAGTGTTCCGAATCCTATTGCAGCGTAAGTGGAGTCGGTTTTCTGTCTGGAGTGCTTCTCTACCACTTTCTAGAGGCAGTTAGGTTTGTCATAGTCATGTGTCTTGTAGCTGCTCATCACGCGTGTAGATCGTGCCTTGTGTGTGATGCCTTCAGTGTACCTTAGTCCGATTTCTTATTACATGTTCCGGGCTACCACCCTCGGGACCCATCCTGTAACCTTGAATATGTTGGGATGTTTTATCCGCTTGGACCGGACCTGCTGCTTCTTGTTGCCCTTGAATCACCAGGTCGATCTCTCAATTTCTTAGGCCTGTCAGCCGCATATTAAGTGCCTGCACCTGCACGCACAGACGCCATACTATATGGTTCTCAGTATTGATGTCTTGAACAATGAACTTAACATTCAATCAACTTCTCCCTCCTCCTCGTTTTCCTTCCTATACTATATACAGCGATGTTGGGGACTCTTTCACACCAGTGGCTGCACTGGTGGCCATGAACGTCAGTATCGCTGCCTTTCTAGGGCTTGCTAAATAGATGCTCGTTTCTTTTGGTAGTAATAAATTATGTACGCGACAACAATGTAAATATGTATGTCGATCGAAACAGGAATTGCAAACTATTTTATTTAAACGTTCCCATGCCATGTTGTGTGAATTGTAAAGCACTCTCAGTATGTTTGTAAAAAGTTATATATATATTTTGTCGTCAACATAATCTGTGAAATGGCGGAAGGGTGTTAGTTACGTTGAATACTTACGCTTCTGACGCTTCTTGGTTGACATCGGCCCCGATCTGTTCAGCAATATGTTTTCCAGGTACTTGGGTTACAAAAGACTATCCATGATTCTTAGAAGAATTATGAAAAAATTGTTATTTCCCATTTTATCATTTTGAAGTCAACCTGTAGTGAAGAGCACTTCGCAAAAAGATACATCTTACAAAAGCGGCTATCTATCAGTTCGTAGGTAAGTAGGCCACTCTTGTTGATACGAATGATCTTTAATCCCTATTCGTTGCGGAGGTGGCATCCGAGCCCAACCACTCTCGAGATAGGGGTCTTCCGAGTTCCGAAACAGTGGCGCAGTATTGCTGATAAGAGATATCTAAAAGGTGTGGTTATGGGTAGCTACTTTTGTCCTTTATGGGGAAAAGATGATCTATAACCTTGCTTTTGTGCTCAACTCTGTCTCTAGCACAGTGCGATATTTTTCATGAATTCAAATTCCTTCCCTAACTCTTATATGTGATTTTATTGATATATACAGTTCAAGATACTTGCTATTTGGACACCGGCTACAGCCGGTACAGACTGATATTCAGGGATCTACAACACTTGTAAAACTGTTTACACTAATTATATTTGGAAACTCTACCTATAAAAACCACGTTGCCATCAACGTGGCAAGAGATGTAATCATGATAACCCCATATCTCGAATTACTCGCGCATGCACCACTACCATCATCGGACTCCTCAGTTTCATCGGCGGTGTTGGCGCTGGCCACGCCCTCCACTTTGAAATCCTGCTTTATCTCCCCAGTTCCAGTGGTTGTTCTTCGCCTCCTCCTGGCACTGTTGAAGCTATAATCAACATCGATTGTAAAGACGATTGATGCCTCATTGGATTCTCCTAGACCGGGATCCTCGCACGCCACCAAATTGTCAAACAAGAGACCCACGGCTGCTGTCAGTTCGCCAGGAAAGTGGGAGATGCCAGCATTAGCGAGCACATTCACATCTGCCTGACAGCCTGCTACAGTACTTGTGACAGCTGCGAAAAGGGAAATAGGGATGGAAATGTACAAATGAGCGTTGTTGATATCATTTTCGAGCAGAAGTTCAGTGTACAAGAAACACAATCGCAACAGAAGCAATTACATTAATGTGATTGATAGAAAGGAAATACTTACCTTGGAGGGTTATAGAATCGACTACAGCTCCAAGACCTCCTTGATCCTCTGTGAGTGCTATAGTCAATCCTATCGTATCGCCGTACACGACTGCGTCTCGGTCAGCTGTGACCGACATAACGTACACGCCATCGATGAAGGTTTCGTACTGATCACACACGTTAATGTCCGTAATATTGAACTCGAACGAGAAAAAATTAAGCAACGTGCAGTCAGTGCCCACTGGCATGGAATCTTGACAGGCAGTGGCCATATCCAAGTACTTATATCTACCCTGAAGTTGGCAAGTTTGCTCATGGGACAGATCAACGGTCCAAGTTTGCACGCACGTTGTGTTGCCAGAACAGGTTGTTGGGGTAATTACCGCGGCCTCTACGTTTGGCTGGTATCCCGTCACACCTTCATCCCAGTGATCAAAGAGTTCACCAACCCAATCGAGTGTAGTGTTTATGTAGTACGGGCCTTGAAGAACGCTTTTGAAGGTGATGGTCGAGATTCCAAGATTTGTCAGTCCCTTTTGGAAACCTGTGATGGCTATCTCCCCTACTACAGGTACTGGCAATGCCATTCCTCCTTCGGGAGTTTCAGTCCCATTTCCAACATCTAGAGGCATAGAACCACCACCTCCCTCCTCGCCGTCTCTTCTACCTCTGTGTATTGCACGTACTCCAATACTCGATACTCTGCCCGGTAGCAACTCAGGATCTGCGCACATATTCGCAATTTCTTTCCTGGGGTCGACAAACTCTTCGTATACCGCCGCGTAATTGATATTTCCGCTGTGATAGTCATCCCAGAGACCCGCTCTTCTATTTGGAAAGATATCATTCACCCAGTCGTCCTCTGCTTTCAGTAGCTGCCTCAAAAGTCGCTTCATCGCATCTGAATCTGGTCTGGCATGGGCTGGTACATCGACATCAACCTCAATGATTTGCTCTTCCCATCCTCCGTTCGCACGTCTCCTACGGACCAGCTTTTTGAACCCGAACTGGAAAATGAGGGTGACGGTCACATCTGGTTTGCTACAAGTGACGTCGTCATTAAGCTCCAAGAACCCTCTGAACTTTGTCTTGGTTTCGACCAGAGTCCAGTTTTTCAAAGCGTTCGTTACCACCAAGCGAGGCCTGCTGCATTCCTTTATCCTCCTCGTCAGCTGTGGGGATAACATTTTCAATAGTAGCGTTAGACTTGCGCTGAGGTGCTTGGCACGAAAATACATTAAAGTGATAAATTGTTCAAGCATGTCACAGGATATTCTATGGGAAATGAGAACGTGACATACCGATTTCAGACCTGACATTTGCCACCCGCCGGCGGATGTCATTCCGAACTCAAGTAAAATAATCTCATTCGGCGAAAACACCACAGAGGGAGTGACATCCACTATGGCTCCAGCATCCATCCCATCACCTGCCACATTCTGCGAGAAGAATCCCATTTGAAAAGACACTGCCTCACCCTTTAAAGTTTCTGCAACTGCCTTACTAGTACACAGTACAGGTGAATCCAATGTGATGGCCCAATTCGTGATGAATGAGGAGGGGCAGTTTGCTTCCTGGCCCTCCTGGCAACGAATAGGAACATCTTCAAAGAGATACAAACCGTCGAGAGTGCAGTGCCCATTGTGGGAAACTGTGAATGTCAATATCTGAGTACAATCTGCATCACCCCATCTGTTCCCTGTGCACTCCACATCTACGGTCATCACGGAAGGCACATTTCGAGTGTTAAGCGCACTGTCCAGCTTGCCGGTGGGAGTGTGTTCTGGCGTCATTGAAATGGTGAAAGGGGCCTTGATGACTGATTTTAGTGTAATCGTCGAGGTACCTTGTGCACCTTCACCATACACCACGTTTTCTACCGTTATCACAGGTGAAACATAGTAGTCGTGAGCGAACACACGAGAATCAAAGTTGTCGAGTGTTACCTCCACCTGACGGGGAATCTGGAATGCAAATGCCTTATCGAAGTTTGCTGAGCGTGTATCATACTCAAAGCCTCCGATTGGACTCTCAAATCCGTAGGTAAATGACCCCGTGTACAACCAATAGCTACCGTCTTCGGTCGCTGTACGAGTTATACCACCATCGTTAAAGCATTCCTGAAATTCGACGGTATACATAAACCGACTTTTGCAAGGGATATCTACGCTGTACGGCAAATTCTTGACTTCTAATACACCGGCACTCAGCTCTGTGTTATCTGTCGATACATTGCACCTGCCGAGACTCAACCAAGTGAGCTTACGTCCCTTAATGGGATCTTGAGAAAACACGAAGTCTATATAGTGATCGTTTGCATCACTCATCTCCATGACGTCCAACGAAACTGAATCCACCATTCCTATTTATCCCAATTAATCACGAATAAATTGACAGCATTTTAGTTTTGGGCAACTCAAACGCAAGCTGATCGAGATCAATAAAATCCGAGCCTGCCACTTCTATACAAATTTTGCAATATTATACTTAAATCGAAATTTCTTACCTAGTGAGGCGGCATCGGTAGAAATGCAGGTCTCCTCGATGGTGCTTATCTCCACACATTCCCCCGCATTATCAGGATCGTCAACGTAATCAGCTTGACATATGCACTTAACACCATCAATTACATTCCCTGCACGAAATTGGAATTTACACGTGAGCAAATCATGAAATTAATGCAAGCCGTACCTGGTGAGCGGGCTAAGGTGTGAACTAAGTGTATCTTGTACTGTTTTCAACTACTCTCTGTTCAAATCATTCTTACCTACGGTTGCACACGGAACTGCGGATACAATATCGATGGTCATTGCAAGGACCCATGTCAAAGCGGCTAATTTCATTGTCTACAAGTGTATTTCACACGTACAGTGCAATTATTAAAGTTAATTGTTATTGAAAATAAATTGGGCAATACCCATTTCTATGAATACTTTGTGCATAAGTTGAGCAGCTTTATAGATTTGATATCAAGTGATTTTCTTCTTCATTTTTGTTTAAAACTATAGTTGAACTTTCGTTGCCGTGCTTTACAAAACAAGTTGCACACTGCAGACAGTGTAGACTGTATAGTGCAGAACTGCAGACTACACCTATATCTCAAAAGGTATTTTTATATTTGTACATTACTTATCCATTTTCGCCTTTCGTCGCCCTCTCTACTAGATGATGGCACAGCAAATTCAAAATTGGTGGAGTCGATATACCAAAATCTAGAAATCACGCGTTTGTTCGTCTGAAAGGGTCAAAGGGGCAGGGCCAGGGCGCGTAAAACAATACTCAATAGAATTTATTAGTAAATTCTGCCGGCCCAGCCTGTGGTATGCAGCATTGCGGCTTTGCGACCTCTTGAAGGATTGCATTCTCTCTACGAGAGTCTGCAGTCTGCGACTCTGCACTCTGCACTAATAAGAATTCCTATATAGCTTTTAACGTCAGCAGACTCAGCCACTCAGGCACTCAGCCTCACCAGAGTCACCAGTCACAACTATTTTGTGCCAAAAAACAAAAAACAAATCAAAAATGCAAAAATACTTTACCATTGAATACAAAATAGCTTTCTACTCTTCGATTTTCACACTTCACGAACATGATGAAGGCAACACAAGTCAACAAGCCAAGACCTATATTGTGGGCTGGACGGCTGGTGGGCTGGTCAGGGGGTGGCATCAAGATTTCTCAAAAAAAAGTTTTTATAGAAAACAAAGCTTAAATATTTGTAGTTGGTTTTGTTTGTTTAAAAAATCCCCCCCAACAAAATAATACAAAATTGAAAAATATACTGTCTCAGTCTCGTGACTCTCAGAACAGTGAGAAGTGAAAACTGAGGACTCTACAGTCTTGCTAACACAGCTTCAGTAAATATATTTAAAAAAAAAAGTACTTCACAGTTCACAGTTCACAACTTCACACCCACGACAAGTGTTCACGAGTTCACAAGTCACCAACTCACCACTCACCAGTCACAAACTCACAACTATTTGATGTTCTTTTTTTAGAAAAACAAAAAACAAATATGTACAAGTGAGTACAACTGTAAAGTTTTGGAACACTCGTTTTTCTTTAAAAAGTCTAAAATATAGAAAGTCTTTATACGGCACTGGTGACAATAAAATTCTTAACCACCTCAGGCCCAGTTTCCTACCAGTCTCATACTTCCACTTTTTCGAGTTTACTTTGCTTTTAAGATGTAATATGCCAGATTTTAGCTCATTTATTGCACTTGTTGTATTAGTTCTTTGTCGGCCTCAGAGGAGAGGTCGACGTATGTTTGACACGAATAGTGTCAACTGTAAAACCATGGACGATTCCGAAGCAATAGCTAAGACAGAGAACGCCTATATACATGTGCCCAACTGCTAACATATGTCAAGCCCTTAGGACCGACAAGGACCTCAACAAATGGGTTGAATCCGCGCTACAATATCTAACATTTAAGTCGAGCGCTTTCAACCGGCAGATAACAAACAAACCGGCAGAAAACAAACACATCTCACAAGTGCGGTCTTAAAATCACGTTAATTACATTAATACACCTATATTTAAGCAAATTAAACTCGATAAGTATGAGACTGGTAGGAAACTAAGCCTGAATTGCTTAATAATTTTATTGTTACCAGTGCCGTATAAAGACATTCCTAAAAATTATCGCCATGATTTTTTTAAAAACAAATAAAATATAACACGACATATGACTAAAACCCCTGACAACCCTCCTATGCCTAAAACGGGACTAAAACCCCATATGCCTAAAACTTGCGCCTAAAATGCCTTATCCCTAAATTTTATGACTAAAACTACCTTATGCCCATTTTTTTTACTTAAAAAGCACCTTATGCCTAAGTTTTAGGACTAAAACCACCTTATGACTAATAAAATATTTTAACCCTAAAAACTATTCCTAAAAAGGTTTCTTTTGTTGGTTATTTTTTCAGAACAATTTGTACTTTATGACGATTTTACATATAAATAATTTTCTCTACTCTGGGGTAAATATATATTAGATTTTCATTTTTGTGAGACTGCGAGGCTAACCTCAATTCATTCTAAATATAGTCCTATGGGTTTACAAATAGGTACATTTTTTAGGCGGCCTAACTGTCATGAATTGTCCTATTTTTCACTTTGTGTCAGTTGTGAATAATTTCAAATCGCCCTTTTATTAAAAAAGGTCAATTGCCCAGGTGCAAATTTGTAAAATTTTCAAGATGGGTTTGCCCTCGATATACTTTATAAAAACGCTTAGAAAACAAAACCTTTTGCGTTTACGTTTAAAGTTTATCGCGTATAGGCAACACGTATTGAGACCGAGTGTCAGAGAGTCTAACAGAGAGGACTTAGAGGAGTCAAGGCCCGAGGGCGAGAGTTCGCGAGAGTCCGAGAGGCGAGAGCAGCCCAAATCCCAAAACCGATATTAGATAGGCGACAGGGCACAGGCTGACTCGCGAGTCGCGACTCCTGAGTACTAACGACTCTGAGTTTGTGAGATGTAATTGTATTGTGCTTTTTGGTTGTCAGTGGCAGGCTATTGTTTTTAAAATAAATAAATTTCTATCGTCAATTCGTCATCCACAAATTGTTTTGTATAAAAATATATTGAACCCAAATCCGAAATCGGATCAATGATTCGTGTTCCAGAACTTCCATTGTCCGTCAAGTGAAAATATGTAGGGTCCTCTAAATACTCTCGATAGTCGCTACTCTCTAGAGTAGCTGTAGGGGTCATTTCTCTCACATTTGACATTTTCTTCTTCAAAATACAATAAATACATGTTATAAACTCTTGGTCCTTGGAGGGTGATCTATTTTTTTAAAATACGCGATTATACTAAAAATTCTACTAATTTTTACTATGTATGAGACTGGGTTAGTAAAAGACGCCAAAATTTAGCAAAAAGATATGTCAGACGTGTCGGCACGACATTTTGTCAGGCATGTCGGTCGCCGTCTGGTGTCGGCGACAGGCTACTGTTGACCCAGACCCGACTATCGCAACACCAAACGACATGTTCTACGTGTCGCGGCGACATTTTTTCAGGGGTGTTCGTCGTTGTCGGACGCCAACCCAGGTATGAGGCTATGACTTGTGAGTGACTTGCTCAGTGCATTATTTTTCCAGCGACATTTTCCGAGAGAAAAGTGAAAACAGAATACATATGTACTGAGAATCAGAAAAGCGAGAGAAAGTGAAAACAGAAGAGAGGGCCATGCTATTTTTTTTAAATATCAAAATAGAATTGAAGATATAGAGTTGAGGAGTGGACTCAAATAAATACCAAAATAACATTCCAGAGCGAAGGAACGATATGTACCAAACATATTTTGAATAAAATGAATTAAAAATCAAGATCAACAATACGCGAAGTCACGGGACAAAGTCATAGCCCTCAGTTTTTAAAAAAATCAAAAAAGTGTTATATCTAAAAAAAAACCCTACAAAACACGGTATTCAGAAATATCATACATACATCGCCTTCTGAATTAAATATTGTCAATCAAAATACCTGGAAACTAATAAATATATTTACATTAATTTACAAAAAAAGTAGAAATTGCACATAAATTATAAAAACCATCAGAGAAGTCAAAAGAAGTATTTGTTGTTAAAAAAAAAGGACGAAAAACACATGGCTCTCTGCTAGAATCTGGATTGAGTGAGGAGTCTGAGGACTAACAGACACTTTTTACTAAACTCTAAAGTGTGTTTTTACAAAAAAGGCCAAATATGCCTGTTTCAAAAAAAAAAAGGGTGTGTGAACGATGTTGTTTTTTAAAACAAAATAAATAAATAATTGGTACACCTCACAGTCTCGCACAAATACATAGACAGTCAGACACACAAATGCACAAATGCACAAATAAGCACATACAAAGACACAGACACAGACACATACATTGAAACATAAACACGGTCAGACACAGAAACAGACACAGATTTAGACATAATAATATACAAACACAGAGACGGATACAGGCAGGGACACAATCACGGGACACAGACACGGACGCAGGCACGCACTCGCACGTACACACGCACACACACACACACACGCACACACACACACACACACACACATATGAACACACACACATACACACACACACGAACACACACACACAAAATCGATATGCACACACATATCGACACACAGACTCACACTATCAAACACGACACATAATACACATAAATATACACAAACAAATACACACACACACACACACATACACATGTGCATGCACATGCTCATGCTCATACTCATGCACGCACACACACACACACACATATATATATATATATATATATATACATATATATATATACCCACTCACCAATATATAAATATATATAT